CCCATTTTCTGTGGTCGTTCGCCGTGCGCTACGCTGCTCATTAGCTTAACCTGTAGACGTGCTCCCAGTGGCCACTGGTTTTGCCGACCCTTCTCTGAAGTGGGTCTCCTGGTGACGCATCTGCGCTCCACGTCTGGGGCAGCCTTGCTCATGTCTGCGACACTAGCGCGGACAAGCTCTCAGCCCACACCCTTCCTTGTGTCAACCTGGGGTTTTGCTTGACGCCCCTGATAGGCTCTTCTACCACCCGGCACACCACCACTTCTACCGTTCTCGTGACGTTACGTTCGACAAGACGCTCCCGTACTACCGGCGTTTCCCACACCGCAGCGCTCCTGTGCCTCCTCCTCCTCTCTTCCTTGTCCCTGCCCCGCCTACCGCACCCCTCCCACCCCGACCGGCTCGACCTGGTGTCTCTCACGCCACTCAGTTTCCCTCGGTTGGGCCCGTGGGGAGTCAGCTAACTTTGGGGGCCCAGCTCCTGGGGGGGCACCTGCAGACCCTATGGCGCCTCCCCCAGCTTCGGTACCCCAGGCACCTCAGCCGCCTCCTCCTTTTCCTCAGCAGCACCAGTCCTTGCCGCGGCAGACTCAAAAACCGCAGCAGCAGCAGCAGGGTGCAGTGGGCTCAGGGGGTGCTAGTTCTAGGGATGTTGGTGTTGGCGGTGTTGGTGTTGAGGGTGCTGGAGCTGGTAGAGTTGGTGCTGGGAGTGCTGGTTCTGGGGGTGCGCATTCTGGGGGTGCTACCTTTGGGGGGTGCTGGTTCTGTGGGTGGTACGTCCGAGGGTGCTAGTCCTGGGTTTCTATTTCGGGGAGTGCCGGTGGTACCTGAGGTGCAGCTGGAGGTCGTGGAGAGGACATGGAGCAGCAACAGCAGCAGCAGTAGCAGAAGCAGCAGCAGAAGCAACAGCAGAAGCAGCAGTAGCAGCAGCAGCAGCAGTCTTCTCTTCGCCTCCTTGGTCTTGCACCCAGTTCCCTTGACCGACCGCTCGTACCTTTGGTGCGTTACCCTGTTTCTGGCACGCTGTTCCCTCCGCCAGACTCCTCTCCGGCTTGTTTTCCCCCAAGCTCTCTTCCGTCCCCGGACTTGTCTCCTGTTCCCACTCGTTCCCTGTCCCCAGTTCTTCACCACTGGATCCGTCGTCCCATTGGTGCTCATGCTGTCTCTCCCCGTCCCAGTGTTCACCCTATTGGTCCTTTGTTCGCGTGCTCCTCCAGTCACGGTCCTCCCATTGCATCCTCCATGTTGCTCCCGTTGTCCCCTCCTCCTCACTCCGACGCTGCTCGCACTGTTCGTCAAGTCCTCTCGTGCCTGCTTGCGTCGCCTGTCACTGGCCCTGCTTTTCCTCATGAGTCCGTCTCTGCGCTTGTCGCTGCTGTCGCGTACTTTGCTGCTAGCAGTGCCTTGACTACACTGACGCTCTAGTCTCTAGTACTGCTCATCGTCCGCCTGTCAGGGGTGCACCTGCCCTCGGCAGTGACATGCTAGAGGACATGCAGTACGAGTTGGCCTACGTTGCTGCCACTGTTCCCCATCTCTGCTCCATGCTTGTATCCCAAGAGGGCGACCCAGACACTCTCTACATCCCTGTTCCGCGCTCTTACCCTGAGGCGGTGTCAGGGCCCTGGACAGCCCAGTGGATACAGGTCATGGAGGTTGAGGTGGCATCTTACAGATCCATAGGCACTTACGTCGCCGCAGTTCCCCCACCTGGGACGAGCGTAGTTGATGGCATGTGGATCTACAGGGTGAAGCGCGCACCTGGAGACCCGCCGAAGTTCAAGGCGTGTTACATGGCTAGAGGCTTCTGTCAGCGGGAGGGTGTGGAATTTTTCCATACCTTCTCCCCTACTCCAAAGATGACTACTCTTCGGGTGCTCCTCCATCTAGCCGTGCAGCGAAACTATGGGCTTTACTCACTCGACTTCTCCATAGCTTTCATGCAGGGTAGTCTGCACGAGCAGATCTACCTCCAGCGCCCTCTAGGCTTCTCTGGTCCTTCCCATCTGGGACCGAATGGAGCCTGCGCTGCCCTATCTACGGCCTTCGTCAGGCACCCTGTGAGTGGCACGACCCGCTTCGCATCACTCTTGTTGAACTGTAGTTCTTTCTGTATGCTGCTGACCCCTCTCTCTTTGTTCACTGGTCGGCTGCCAAGAGGTTACTGTGGTATCTGGCTAGTACTTCCGGACTGGGGCTTGTGCTAGGAGGACGGGAGCCAGTGGTGTTCACTGGATACAGAGACGCGTCGTGGGCTGACGTCGTGGAGACTTTCAGGTCGTCTCAGGGCTACTGTTTTAGTCTTGGTGCTGGTGCAGTCCTCGTCTATAGCTCAGTCCAATTGTGAGACAGAGATCTACGCTGAGGCCATGGCCGCTCAGGAGCTCCGCTGGCTGACGTTCTTACTCACTGACTTAGATGAGCAGCCTAGGTTTGCCCCGGTCTTGTATCTGACAAGAGGGCCATGATCCTCCTGTGTCAGGAGGCTCGACTAGAGGGCAGGGCGAAGCACATCCAGCTGCAGTACTTCCCGTTGCGTGAGTTGCAGCAGCGCGGCCAGGCTTTTGTAGTACTGCGTGGCCACAGAGGTCAACACCGCTGATATCTTCACCAAGGCACTACCGCATCGTGACCATCAGCGGTTCTGTATTCAGCTTGGTCTAGTCTCAGTAGCAGCGCAACTCCTTGTATCCTCATATCTACTATACCAGCTTGTACTTGCTATTTCTATACCTGCATGTCTTGCTACACCTACTGATTGGCCTTGTAGCCCCTTGTCTCAGTGATCAGACTAGTAGTGCTGCCCTGAGTTGTCTTGTTACCTTCACCAGAGGCCAGACTATTAGTGCTGCCCTGTTTTGTTAAACTCTGCCACTACCTAGGCTAGGGGTTGTGTCAACAAACATATAGTTTTGTCTACACATATCTGATTAGTTTACAAATGTTTGTTATAGCCTAGCTAGGTTAGTTCTTAGAGGGGACAATATTCTTGTACTTGTATCTCCCCTCCCCTCTACCTAGTTACACCTTTTCTCGCTAATCTAACAACCACCTCCCGTGTATTTTGTGGCCCTCTTCGATGTTCCCTTGCTAGGCTAGACGTGCTTGTATTAAGCCTTGTGCTTCATTTGTACTCGACATGCTGAAATCACTACCTCTCTACTGCATTATTCGACTCTATTCGGAGATAATCATAACATTGTCTCTCAAATAAACTTAGTAGTGATTTTATTAATTAGAACTGAAAGAAGGGTGTCTTATTTCTATGAGTATCTCTGTGAGATATAATCTGGCGTGTTGTTACATTACGTGGTTTGAGCTTCTAGGGATAGCTATGAAAGTATATGCACTTGCCTTCTGTTACACGTGGACATGGAGGACATAGAAGAACTGGTTTTGGTTCATGGACGAGTATGTTCTTACCCTCTTTATGCTCCTTGGTAGAAATACCAAAATTAAGAATGATTGTGATCCTTCAGTTTTACAACATGTCGACCAACAATTTTGTAGCATAGCGATGTCGCTGTTAAAGTTATATATTGAGTTATATAATTGTTAGGCTTGGTAGGTCGCCGAACTTTACTGTAGAGGGTACAATCCCCTCCTTGTATGCCTCTCTCTTTCTATTCCAACACCTTTTCTCTCCTCAACTTTTCTCCTTCCTAAACCTCACGCCACTCCATGGCTCCTCCTAGCTAAACCTCATGTCTTTCCTAGCTTCCTAGCTAAGCTAACATTTTAACAGTCGCACCCTACATACAAGACTTACTTGTATCCCTATGTGTACACATGCCAACAATCTCAGAAAAACATCAATGGAACTGCCCAAACTGGCCTACGCTCTTTTTATAGTCATCAATGCTAAACGCTGATCGTTGATTGGTCATTGTTTTTATTTTGTTTCGCTTGTGTTGGTGGTAGTTTTGTTTCATCGACATTGCTCTCGATAGCGCGTTATTGTCACGCTTTGCGTGCCAAGGCTCTCTTTATCACGCAGTTAAGTGGGCGATTGTACTAGTGACTGCCAATAAGATCTTGGTGGGCGACGCTGACATGGGCTCTCCCCATTTTCATCTTGGCGTAATAGACCGAGTAAGGTAATCAATAGCAAAATCTTCCCACATCTTTCTAACTAGGAATTCGCAATTGGACGAATCATAGCAGGCCTAGCCAACGTCCCGCGCTAGTAAAAGCAAGCCATGCAAGTTGTGTTTCAAAGCGGAAACCTTGTCATGCGAATTCTGTAAAGGGAAGATTCTGCTAAGGGGTGTAGGAACACTTTCCGTGCTGTCTTGCGAAGTACATCACATGTTGGCTTTCCATGTTGTCTTGCTTGCTAAGTTCTCACTTCCTTTTTTGTCTACGTTCTCACTTCTGGAGAATTGATATTTTTGAAGTTAGTTCGGCTTGTGAGCTACACGGGAGCTTCCTAAACGCGAAACTCTTCAACCCCACGTGGCGCCTCAGACAGCCAGAACTCTGAAAGCAGCAGAGCGTAGTGGATAATTGGATCCGATGTGCCTTGCTGGACATCGTCATTCGCTGACGTGGCTATTGAGCTGCTATCCCAGTACGATGAGCAGCTTTCATGAGGCGGTTCGTACCGCAAAACCATCACAGGGCAGCACGAGCAAATCTGAACCATCGATGCGCTGGATCGCCTCATTTCTGCGCGTGCATCAAAACGCCTAGCCACATCTCGCGCCACGGTCTTGAGCCTCGGATGACCGTTCGATGGCTATTGTCAGTCATTTGGGCCCTCGATTTCCAATCCCCTAAGAGAATCCCCCGACATCCTCATGGCGCTTGGGGTTGGTCACACACACCAGCCCATCCAGATACCTTTCCCGGCTTAGCGCACACCGTCGCACCATACCAAACCAGGACAAACCGTTTCAAAACAAGAGGTTTGTGGCAAACACCGCTTACGCCTAGTGAAAATCCTATCACAATGCACCACAAAAACTAAGGCCACCCACAGACCATCCTAATCAGACCATCCTGCCTGAAGGTCAGCTTCAGTGTATTTGGCCAGAGACAAGCAGCTGAGCTTGTAACTTTCTCACGCGCGACCTAGCCCTTCTAGACCAGCCGTTCTCTCAGCCATGGCTCTTGCAGCAGCGGGGTCCGTCGCAGTCGCTCAAATGCTGTCCAGCAGCGGCCTCAGGCCACAGCCCTTGTCTCTGGGCCAGCAGCAGCAGCAGCTGCTCTTCTCCCCTCAAATCGCCACCAGCACGTCTTTTAGCGCCTCTCCCAGTGGCAGCCGCGTCGTTGCCGTGCGCGCGAAAGCCGGCTTCGGCACACAATTCTTCAAGAAGCGCGCCGAGGAGGAGGAGGAGGAGGAGGAGGCCAACGACGGAACGCAGGTCTTTAAGAACTTCTTCTCCCCCCGAGTCGTGCAAGAAGACGACGAGGACGAAGATGCCTCCCCGCAACAGACGCGCAAGTTCGCGGTTCCTGAGGAGATCCCCGCCGCGCCGCAGGGCATCTTCGGGCTCGTGAAGTTGCCGTTCGCCGCGCTGATGCGCGGGCGGCCCGCGGACCGCAAGACGGTGTTCGTGGCAGGCGCGACGGGGCTGACGGGCGCGCGCGTGGTGGTGGAGCTGCTGGCGGCGGGCCTCAGCGTGCGCGCGGGCGTGGAGGACCTCAGCGACGCGCAGCAGCTCGCGGAGCTCGCGGCCAAGTACAAGGTATCCTCCAATTCGCGTCGCTGCCGCGAATGCACACACCTCCCATTCTCACTCGCTGCCTGGTAATGTGGTGCGGCTGGGTGCGGTGGGAAATGGTGCGCGCGATGTCTTGGGAGTCATCGCGTTGGCTGCCCTTCGGCTAGGGTTTGGACTCGTGTGTGCGGGTGGTGAGAGGGTGGGTGGGTAGCCGTGTGTGCGGGTGGTGAGAGGGTGGGCGGGTAGCCGTGTGTGCGGGTGGTGAGAGGGTGGGTGGGTAGCCGTGTGTGCGGGTGGTGAGAGGGTGGGTGGGTAGCCGTGTGTGCGGGTGGTGAGAGGGTGGGTGGATAGCCGTGTGTGCGGGTGGTGAGAGGGTGGGTGGGTAGCCGTGTGTGCGGGTGGTGAGAGGGTGGGTGGGTAGTCGTGTGTGCGGGTGGTGAGAGGGTGGGTGGGTAGGTGGATGTGAGTTGCGAGAACTCTCGTTTCTCCTAACAGCAAAGTCCGCTGCAATTTTAAGAACATTCGTGTAGAGCTTTGTCGCTTCCACGCGCTACCACCTAACCTACCTGGTCTCATGCAACCCGCTGGCTATTCCGCTCCTAGCACAAAAGAAACGCGTTGCCTCGTCACTTCAAGCCGCATGCGCTCTTTCCTCCCCTACGCCCGTTACCTTCCGCCCTTTTTTGTCGCATTTGAACCCGTCCCATCCCGTCCCATCCTTCCAAACCTCATCGCTCTCGAACCATCCCGAATGGGCCACTCTTGGACACCCTCTCCTCTACCGCCTCGTACTCCATTGATCTCTTTCCCACCATTAAAAGAGTCGATGCTCCCGTTGTCTCCCTCGCAACCCGGCCATGGCGGCAGGCGATCACGGGCGAACTTCGTCGAGTCTGTACCCACACGAAACTTGGATTCACTAGTTTCTTTACTCTCCCCTTGCCCAACAACCCGTCCGTGTCCATGGCGGCAGGTGATCACGGGCGAGGAGGCCAAGCGCCTCAACTTCGTCGAGTACTCGGCCTCCGACTCGGAGTTCACCGCCAAGTCCATCGCTAACGCGGGCACCGTTGTAGTCACACTCGGCGCCGGCGAAAACGGCCCCAGCGGCAGCCTCGAGGTCGAGGAGGCGCTCTCCCTGGCGCGCGCCGCCATCCTCGCGAACGCGCCGTCCTTCGTCCTCGTCTCCGACTTCGCCGCCGCACCCGCCGGCGTCGCGGTCAAGGGCAAGAAGGCCGGCGGCGGCGGCGGAGGCGGCGGGCTGATCGCGACGATCCTAGCGTTTTTCCGGTCGCTGGCGGGGCGGAAGGGCGAGTCTGCGTCGTACAGCGCCGTACTGTCGGAGCTGGTCGAGGCGGAGTCGCTGGAGTACACCGTGCTGCGCGTGGGGAGCTTCGAGGCGGACTCTAGCGCGTACAGGACGAACGTGGTGGTGGGGGAGGAAGGCAGCATCTCCGTGGGATCGGTAAGTGCGCCGAACTCAAGGACTTGGGTAGAGGTGGGGTTAGGGTTGACGTGCGGGGTGAGGAAGATGGAGAGTAGGGAAGATGGAGAGTAGGGAAGGTGGAGAGTGGGGAAGGTGGAGAGTGGGGAAGGTGGAGAGTGGGGAAGGTGGAGAGTGGGGAAGGTGGAGAGTGGGGAAGGTGGAGAGTGGGGAAGGTGGAGAGTGGGGAAGGTGGAGAGTGGGGAAGGTGGAGAGTGGGGAAGGTGGAGAGTGGGGAAGGTGGAGAGTGGGGAAGGTGGAGAGTGGAGAAGATGGAAATGGTCGCTGGATTGCGCACGTGCTAGTGCTACCATTCTGCCAAATGCAGAGGCGGTTTTTCTCTTGTTTTTCTTCTCTTCTCTCTCTTTTCTGGCTCGTTCCAACTCGTTTAACCTCCTCTTACCCTCCCCCTCCCCCCAACACCTCTCCTCCCCTCCCCCCATCTCTCCCTCTAAAACCCCTCCGCCTGCGCCGCACTGCCAGGTGTCGCGAGTGCAGGTGGCGCAGGTGATCGCCGCCATCGCCGCCAACCCCGGACTCGCCGCCAACAAGGTGAGGGGGAGGGGGGGGATGGGGAGGGGGGAGAGGGGCCCGTGGAGGGAGAGGGGTTTCCGGCTGGGAGCGAGTGGGCGGATGACAGCAAGAAGGCGTTCGGTGGTGGATTCATTAAACAGGTGTGGGAGGGAGGGAGCGAGGGAGGAAATGGCTGCCTAAGGGCAGGAATCTGTGGCGCTCGAACTGTGTAGTTCTGGCCGTCGGTTGCTGCCATCCTGCCGTTTCTTTTGTTGGTTGCTCTGCCCGTGAAATGAAAGCGTGACATGTCACGTGATTGAAACGACGCCTGCACTCAAGTGTCACAGGCGTTTCTTGCAATTTCCCCGTCCCGTCCCTCCGTCTCCCCGCTTTCTATCCCATACCAATCCCTACCCCTACCCCTTTCGCTTTCCCGCTCTTCCTCCATCCCTCCCGTTTCAACTCCCTACCACCCTTTCACGCCCGCCTCAAATCTACTTCCTTCGTCAGGACCCTTTTCCCACTCCTCACATGCTTGATTCTTCCTGATTCTCCGGCTTTCGTGTTGTGCAGGTGGTGGACTTGGTCGCATCTGCAGGTGCTGAAGCTGCTGATGTTGCTGAGCTGCTCGCGTAAGTCCCCCCCCTTTCTCCCCCCCCCCCCCCCCCCCCCGCCCCCACACTCCCGCTCTCTTCCTCCCTCTCCCTAACTGCCGTTCTTTCTTGCTATCTCTCATGCTCACATGCGCGCGCGCAGCTAATAGCATGTATTTGCGCACATACGCGCCACGAACACACACATCCATGCATGCCTGCATGCACATACAGACACCCATACAGCCACGGCAAACGTACACATGCGCAGCCACACACACGCCCATACAGACATAGCAAGCTATTGCTCTCTAGTAACGTGCTTTCTAAGGAATGTATCCACCTGCACAACCAAAAGCCCACCACTCCTCCGTCCTTCCTTCAATCGACCCAAAAGCCTCCTCTCTTCTCTCCTCCTCTTACCCTTACGCCCTCCTGGCTCTCTTCCTGCCCTCCCCCCCCCTTTCCCTCTCCTCCAAACCCCCCCCCCCCCCCCCCCCCCCCCTGCTTCTCTCTTATTCTCCCTCGCCCACTCCCCCCACCCCCGCTTCTCTCTTATTCTCCCTCGCCCACTTTCCCCCCTCTCCCCCCATCGTTCTCCCTCTCACTCTCTCTCTCTTGCCCCAATTGCCATGCCTGGCTTTTCTTCTGGCGGGCCTTCCTACAGTGAGATTCCTGAGGATCCGCGCCGGGCAGTGAAGAAGGAAGCGGCGGAGCGCGCGCAGGCGGAGGAGCAGCAGAAGCAGCTGCGCCTGATGGCGGCGGCAGAGGCGGAGGCTGCCGTGGAGGAGGCCAGGCGCGCTGCTGAGAACGCTGCTGCTCTTGAGGCCCAGGCCAAGGCCCTGGCAGGTGCGTGGGGTGTGCTGCTGGGAGGGTGGAACGGAATGGAACGGGGTGGAAGGGGAGGAGAGGAAAGGGGGAAGGCGAGAGAACGGAGGTAGGGAGGAGAGGATGTGGTAGGGCAGGGCGAGTGATGCTAGATTGTGTGGGTGAAGGGGGCGTTGGATCGAGAGTGCTTCTTGGTTCGTTCGTGACCATCGGGCTCGTTTGTCTGTTCAAATCAGCCCCATCCATCCCCTTCCCCTCCACATCCCCCACCCATCCTCTTTCCCTTCTCCTTTCTCCCCCATCGTCAGCTGAGGAGGCCCGTGCGGCAGCAGCAGCAGCCAAGGCAGCAGCGCGTGCCGAAGCTGCCTCTACCACCGTCGCAGGCATCGAAACCAACCTCAAGCAAGCCGGTGCCTCCATCCCTCCCCCGTCCTCCAAACCCGCTCCTGCTGCCGCTGCCGCTGCTGCCATCCCCACCCCCTCCATCCCCTCCTTCGCTGATTTCACCAAGAAAATCCCCACCCCGGATATAGCTGCTGCTGCCAGCTCTTTTGCTTCAGCTGCTTCTGCTGCTGCATCCAAGGCCACCAGTGGAGGAACGGAGAAGGCTGTAGCTGCGGCGGCTGACGCCCCCAAGCAGAGGCGGCCGCTGAGACAGAGGCAATCTAAGGCCCCTGCTGCTGCCGCTCCTGCTGCTCCTGCTGCTCCCAAGCAGCAGGCAGAGAAGCGCAAGGTGCTGGGCGGATTTTTGGTGCAGGAGACGGTGTATGCGGATGAGGGCGCTGGGGACTTTTGAGCTAAGTGCGTCTTAGTATGAGTGGGCTTAGCTCTCTAAGGCTTGGAAGCTGCTGCTGCTGCTGGTGGAGGATATAAGTTATGACGGGCCCTAGGCCGGTGTGAGGTGGACTTTGGTGGTTGGCTGGGAGCTTTATCGTATCCCCCCGCCTTTCCCTTCGTGCAAGGGGAAGGGGGGCAGTAAGCATGGAACACCTTATAACCTCGAGGGCAGAAAGAGCAGAGTAGAAGGTAAATACAAAGCTGGTTTAGGGTGTAACTTGTAACCAGTCAAGCAGCCTACTTCTGAGCGTTTTCACATTGAACGGGCTCATTACCATTACTGGTACCACTCTCCACTCTACTCTCCCCTTCCATTTGTGCGTTGACGCTGTTCTGATCCAGTCACCCTCCACGATGCGTCATGTCAACCTATATACATGCGTTATAATATGCTAGATAGGTGCGTACTCTTAGAGAGTACAACACACTAGCACAATGTCAACTTATTTATATACATATATATATGTATAAGTTATAGGCTAGATAGGTTTGTGTTCCTAGAGGGTACAACTCCAACCCTTTATCTCCCTTGTTCTCACTTGTTTCTAGTCATTATGCTATTCTAACATGGTATCAGAGCCATATGGGGTTAAATTCTTGGTGTACACGCTATCCCAGCAGGGGGGTGTGTCGTAGCACTGGGATAACCCTGTCGATCCTCTCTCTATCTCTAGGGAGGGTACTGGGGAGGCTTTCCTCAGGAAAGGTGAATATATGGAGCCTAACCCTCCTAATGACATCCCTGCATATCCCAGTGCAGGGCCTCAGATTACAGGCTTTTTACCCTGATTCAGGGTAAAATCAGGGTTTTTTTCAGGATGAGACATGTTTTTTTTTTAACACGGGCCTGAAATTTCAGCGTTTTTTTAGAAGTGAACTCTGATCGATCAGCGTGACTAGTGTAGTGAGGCCTGTTTTTCCAGCGACGTATTGGGGACCGACCCTGATACTACATGTAATAGCGGATTCCGAGCCCCCAACCCCCCCCCCCCCGCCCCCCCGCGTTATTTCCGAATTTCCCCCCCACCCTCCCTGTCAATCACGCCAACTTGCTGTGGCGTGGAGGACTTAGCGGGAAAAAAGGGTAGCGGGGGTGTGGGAAAGGGGGGGTGCTGTTGCTGGAGTGACGTCTCTGGCTGAAAGGACTTGGCGAAAAGAAAAAAAAAAAAAGTCAGGTTAGCAGGGTGCGTGGGAGGAATGTCTCTAGCCGTAAGGGACTTTTTCTTTGTGGCAGAATTTTCGGGGTTGCAGGGGAGGGGGGGGGTCTCTTTCTTGGTCATCAAGTGGGGCCCCACTTGATTTTCGCACAGGGAATGCACGGAAAACAGGAATAGCGGAGGGGGGTCCCTCTTGAACCCCCCTGCAGAAAAAGCCGAGGCCCACGTGGCCAGCGACAACGTCGCAGGGGGGCTGCACGACGCGCCAGGCTGTAGTAGTTTTTCGGCTCGAGCCCACATTGGCTAAAACACTCGCGCAACCAAATTTTGGGGCACTGGGATGCTTCGTTTTTTCGCTAGGTTTCGGGACTTCGTTTTTTCGCACCCACTCAATAATCAAAAGGGACCCCCCTCTGCTATTATGCCGTCAGGTTTCAAACAGCGTGTTTTCTGTAGTTGACCCTGTTTATTCAGCGCAAAATTTATACAACACCCTGATTGATCAGCGTAAATTTTTTTGCGAGGCCTGAAAAAACAGGGAGCTACGAGGGGGGGACCCTGAGCGATCAGCGTGCCCCAAAACGAATCTGAGGCCCTGTCCCCAGTGGTTAGGACTGGTGACTTCATGATTTGGTATTAGAGCAAGTACATCGGGCATGTGGCTAGTGCTGGGAGGACGCAGGCCAATGGTCCTTACTGGGCACACAGACGCTTCTTGGGCTGACGACGCTGATACCCTCAGGTCCTCCCAGGGCTACTGCTTTAGCATTGGTTCGGGTGCCATCTCGTGGAGGTCCACTCGCTCCTCGTATGTTGCCCAGTCTAGCAGTAAGGCTGAGATCTACGCAGGTGCCCAGTCTAGCAGTAAGGCACAGGAGCTCAGCTGGCTGACCTTCTAGCTCACCGACTTACGTGAGCAGCCTAGCTCTGCCCCGGTTCTGTACACTGACAACAGGGCCATGATCCTCCTGTGTCAGGAGCCTCGACTTGAGGGCAGAGCGAAGTACATCCAGCTGCGGTACTTCCTCCTGCACGAGCTACTGCAGTGTCGCCAGGCCCGTGTAGTACACTTGTCCTCCGGTGCTAACACAGCTGATATCTTTACTAAGGCGCTTGCGCCTAAAGACCATCAGCGGCACTGTTTGCAGCTTGGTCTAGTTCCTGTAGCTACTCACTTGCTAGGACCTTCATTGTGTACTCCTCTTTATATATACGTTTCTGATTTGCCTTGTGGCTTCACTTCCTGTGGCCGGACTAGTAGTGCCGCCCTGGTTTGCTCTTTTCTTGTTTGTACACTTGCTGGCTGGTCTTCGGACCCCTGTCTCAGAGGTTGGACTAGTAGTGCCACCCTGAGATGCGTGCTTCTTGCTCAGCACTGCTCCTTATCTAGCCAAGGGGGTATATCAACTTATACATATATTTGTATGTAGAATTTATAGTCTAGATATGTTTTTGTTCTTAGAGGGTACAACTCCAACTCTATATCTCCCTTGTTCTCACTTGTTTCTAGTCATTATGCTATTCTGACACACAAAACCATCATGTATCCTCCATTCTAGTCATTCTGCTATGCTAAGATGGTATCACTCTAGGTAAGGTCCCTCCCGCTTACGCTTCCACCCCTAGCTCTAGCCCTAGCCCTAGCCTGCCCCCTAACCCTAGCCAGCGCCCGAGCCGCGCCCACACCCTAGCCCGCGCTCGAGCCCGCTCCCGCACCCGCTCCCTAGCCTATGCCAGACCCTGCGCCCGTGCCCTAGCCCGTGCCTGAGCCCGCGTCCGAGCCTGCGCCCTAGCCCGCTGCACCCCGAGATCACGCCGCGCGGCTCCTAGCCCGCCGTCGGCCTGCTGTCGTCGCGCGGCCCCCAGTAAGCCGGCCCCAGCACTCGCCGGCCCCCAACTTCGTGCCGACCCCACTTAGCGCCGGCCCCTAGTACGCGCCGGCCTCAGTTTTGAGCCAGCCCCCAGTCCACGTTGGCCCTTGTTCCGCGTCGACCCGCCGGCCTCGGTTCCCCTCGGAGCCGGCGTTTCCGCCGGCTGTCTCCACCACCACTCTCCACCGCTCTCCATCGCCCTCCACCACACTCTCCTCCTCCTATAGCGACTGTCAGCTGCTGCAGCCGTGGTGATGGCGGACTTTGTGGTCCGCCTGGACGCGGAGGGTCGGGCGGTTGACTTTAAGGCTTAGCTTGCTGACCTCCGCTGCCACCTACGAGGTCAGTGCGAGGATGGCCAGTCCCTGGCTGTCCACATCGTTGGTAAGATCCCCTGACGCCCTCACGCCCGCTGAGCGTGAGGCCATTGCAGCTGCTGAGTTGCCGACTTTGTTTGGGAGTCGCGTGGCGCAGTTGCGCAGCTTGCTGTCAGTCGCGCTCAAACATGGGGAGAGCGCGACTGACAGCAAGCTGCGCAACTGCGCCACGCGACTCCCAAACAAAGTCGGCAACTCAGCAGCTGCAATGGCCTCACGCTCAGCGGGCGTGAGGGCATCAGGGTATCTTACCAACTGTCAGCGGGCGTCAGCGGCGTTACCCATGTCGGACTCAGGTACCCAGCTGTCCTCAAAAGGATCATAACCCTTCCAACGGATGAGAAGCTCCACGGTGCCATTCCGACGATGGCGGTGCGCAAGCATGGACTCGACCTCGTACTCGGGTTCATTCTGGACGAGGACGGGTGGCGGCGGCGGCGGTTGGCATCCGACGAAGATCGTGTTTGGATCCCGATAGGGCTTCAGAAGTTGGACATGGAAGGCATTGTGAATCTTCTAGGTAGCTGGCAGGCGTAAGCGTAAGGTAACAGGAGTGACCTGTGCTTCAACGAGAAAAGGCCCGCAGAAGCGAGGTCGAAGTTTAGATGGGAGGTGGCTGATGTCCAGGTTGCGGGTGTCAAGAAGCACCTGGTCTCCCACCATGATGGTGTGGTCTTTGCGATGGCAATCGACCTGGCACTTTTGTTGCTGCTGAATGTCGAGGAGGCGCTTGTGGGTCCGATCCCAAAGTTGATGCATGGTTGTGATGAAATGTGCAGGTTGGACTGTAGCGGATGTTGTCGGTTTCTGTGGTGTGAGTGGGTGTCGTCCATAGCAGAGGAAGAACGGCGTTTGTCCAGTAGCGGCATGTGTAGCATTGTTGTAAGCAAACTCTAGAACGGGCAGGTGCAAGTCCCATTTGGAGATTTCGTCCTTGCAGGCTGCTCGGAGGAGTTGCTCGACAATCTGGTTGAGGCGTTCGGTCTGTCCGTCTGTCTGTGGATGGTAAGCGGATGACATGGCGAGTTTGGTCCCGAGCAGAGACATGAGTTCCTTCCAGAACTTGCTGGTGAACTTGGGGTCTCGGTCGGAGATGAGTGTGGTTGGAATGCCATGCTGTGAGATGATGTATCGAACGAATAGTTGTGTTGTCTCCTCGGTGCGTGGTGTCGTGTGTGTCGGGATGAAGTGTCCCATTTTGGAGAATTTGTCGATGACGACAAGGATTGCGTCATGACCGCTGGTGGTAGGTGGTAACCCGGAGATGAAGTCCAGGCTAACCACTTGCCATGGCTGTTTTGGGACCGGAAGAGGCTGTAGCAATCCCGCTTTACTTTGTTTGCTGCTCTTCATCCGCTGACATGTATCACACGAGGTGACAAATTTCTGAACATCCTCTGCCAAGTGGGGCCAGTAGTAGTGTTTTGCAATACCGGTCAGTGTCTTGTTGCTACCGAAGTGTCCGGCTTAGAGGACGTCGTGGTATTCTTCGAGTAGTAACTGGCGCAGAGGAGGGTAATTGGGTACCCAGATTTTTGTTGATCCTTTCCGGTACGCGATGTCATTGTCCCACTGTAGCAGATGTCGCTTTTCTGCCAAGGGAATTTCGGGGTCGATGGCGTACCCGTGTGTGAAGAGTCCCTTGAGGAGTGGATTCATCCCTTCGATCTGAATAGCGGCAACGTGTGCAGGCCGGCTGAGGGCGTCTGCTTTGTTTTTGTGGCCGGGCTTGTACACGATGTCGTAGTGGAAGTGTTTCTCGAGGAAGTCGATCCACCGGACCTGCCGCCTGGAAAGGTTGGGTTGTGTCTTCAAATATTTCAGGCTGCAGTGGTCGGTGTAGACGGTTGTTCTTCGTCCTTCGAGATAACATCTCCACGCTTTGAAGGC